GTCAAGGCGTCCATTTCGCTGTCAGAACTGGCCTGATGCGACGTGGACGACGCGGAATCGGCTGACTCGCCGACTTTTTGCGGCATCCATCGGCCGAATTGCGGAATCGCGTGTTTTTTCCACTTTTTCTCACCTTTTGCCGACTTCTTTTTGTGTCGTTTTCGCGACTTTTTCCCGTTGCTCTCACTCGGTCGCATCACCTCGTCACTGCGAGGCTGACTGTTGTCGTCGGGTGTCGTCGAAACCGGCTCTTCCGCCTCCTCTTCGCTCGGATTTGGCGTCTTCTCGTCCGTGCCCGACGACTCGGTGGTGCTGATGTTGGCCACATTATGCAATTTATGCTTCAACTGTTTGGTCAGATTTTTGAGACCGGCTTTTTTTTTCTTCTTTTTCTTCTTCCCACTTTGCGACATTTCATCTTTCTCCACCACACCAGCCTTGGTCGCCAGCTCTTCGTCGCTAATTGCATCATCAACTCGTTTCGCTTCGTTGGTGATCAGCATTTTTGGGCATTTTTTCACCTCAAAAATGGGTGCAATCTGCGCCTGGCCAGCATCCGAAGCATCCGAGGCTGTAGTTTCACTGTTGCCATGGTGATTGAAAGCGCCACCTTCTTCTACAGCATCATCTTTGTCCAATTTGGCATTGTGCTCCGTCGCCAAATCGTTTTTTCTCGCTTTGCTTCGCTTTCTGTGTTTCCTTTTTCGCTCCTTTTCTGCCGCTTTTTTTCCCTCGTCCCCACCGAGCTGCTCCGTCGGACTGGGCGGCTCTGTCTTGTCGGGTTGCGCAGTGTCTTTATCCACATTGTCACTGTCCACTTTGGCAGATGTCGGACATTCTTGACTGCTTTCCTCGGCCAATTCTTCGCTGCTCGAGAATAGTCGAACAAGGCTCGAATCATCGTCCGCTTGATTGTCGTCCATCTTGTTCTCCGCTTTTTCTGTACCATTCTCCAGTTTGGCCGTTTTTTTGTGTGTTTTATGCTTTTTTTTGCGTCCTTTCGCCTTCTTCTCGCTACTCGCACTCTTCGCCTCGTCAGTCGATTCGGGCAATTTGTCATTTATTTTCTCCTTTTCCACCCTGGCAACCGGCTCCGAGACCGGTTGCTGACCAGTTGCTATGCTCTCCTTTTCCGGCTCTTCGCTACCGGAGAATAGACTCACGAGACTGGCACCGACATCTTCTTCTTCGGGCTTACTTTTGCTCGTCTCCTCAGTCAAACGCTTCATGGACAACCGGGCAAACCGACCCGGTTTACGTCGTTTACCGTCGTTGGCTTTACTGCTCTGATTTCTGTCGCGTGAAAACCACTCGTGAATGCCATTTCGTTTGCTGTACGTCCCAAATCGTTCCCAAATTGGCGACCTCTTTGGAAGGTCCAACGAATTGGGCGATTTGGGACAATATTCGTTGATGTCGAAGAAATGTCGATTTGTGTGTTCTGCCAGTTTCGGCTGAAGATGGGCTAGTCTTTCGGTTGTGACGTCATTTTTCCCGTTTTTAGTCACATTCGAGCCTGTTTTCTGGCTGGCAAAAGAGCACTTTCTCAGTGAATGTTGACTTTTAACAGAAGATCTGTTGTTGGTATTGCATTCTTTCGGCCGAGAAATGTCATATTCCTGCCTCAACACACACAACGGTTCGAGGAGATTGCGAAAATATCCGTCAAGACACAAATCCTCCTGCCCCGGAGCACACTTTGCGCTCTCTACAGCCCGCTTCACTCGCAGTCTGTCGACGAACCAGCGCTTGGCTGCATTCTCATCTGCTTTCCCAGCCTCCGCCACACACTTGACCGGCTTTTTCACACAACCGACCCTCTTCCCGCCCACTTTACACGTGAAAAGTGGACATTTCCGCTTGCAACTTTGATAGCCGGACACCTCGTTTATCCAAAAGTCCAAATTGTCCAGCATCACAGCGAAGACATCATTCGCGGCAGCAATGAACCGTCGTCGAATCCGGCCTACCTGCACCAGACGGCTGTTGTCATAACGACTGGACACGCCTCACAGAATGTCGTGAGGCGCTGTTTTTGTGGCCAAATTAACCGGTTCTCTGAAATTACGATTTTGCCGCCACGACTGGCGCCATTGTCGGGATTATGAACAGCAAAGTGGATCGATACTCTTTCAGGAGCCGCCGGTTCGAGTCTGCGGAAAAGCGGGAAATGTGAAATGTATGTGATTTTTTGCTTTTTCACACTTAACCACATGACCGACTGTATCTTGGGCACATGTCGACTTGGGCCCAATCGGAAGGGGCGATTTTGGTGTCGAACAATTGACAATTCCCATTTGATGAGTTGCATCGGAAGGGGCCAATTCAAGTGAGTTGGTATGTCGGTGATCAGCTGTTATTTGCTGTTTTCAGTACCAAACTTCGTTTGGCAAGTATGGCTGAAAAGATTGATGTTATGTCAATAATATGCCACTTTTAAATAGTTGATGGCACATCTAAACTGAATGTGTAGGTCAAGTTCTCGCTCTCCTGATTCCTCAATTCTGGTCTTCAAAACATAATTTAGATCCATTTAATTTTTTTCATACTTAAACATCACTCAAGTGAAGCATAATTGCATTTCATATAGCCTTACCTTACCATGAAACCCAATGCGCGATAGCTATCTGCCTTCATAGCAAATGAATTACTTTAGAGAATATTTAAATAAATACTACTCAAATACTACTCATATATTTATATATAAGAATTTTCCCAAAATGCAAAATATCCTTAGACGATCTTATTGCTTTTTTACACTTATTTCACCTGATCAACTGTATCTTATACACATGTCGCCTTAAGCCCAATCAGAATGGGAGATTTTGATGTCAACCAATTCACAATTCCCATTTGATGAATTCCATCAGAATGGGCCAATTAAAGAGAGTTTGTATGTCGGTAATCCGTTGTTATTTTCTATTTTTTAGATGCGAATACGTTTCAATGTCATCAGTGATGCTTGACCAAGAACCTAATCGCCCTACCAAAAAATGTAAGTACCAAACTTCGTTTGGGAAGTATGGTTAAAAAGGTTAAAGTCATGTTAAAAATATACCACTTTTAAATAGCCTTTTTTTCTTCTTACAGAACGCTGACAGTCATTAATGACACATCTGAACGAAATGTGTAGGTCTGTAAGTTGAATACCCTCTGGCATCCTATTCTCCAGTTCTCCCTCTTTCTCATGTTTGCAGATAAATTAGTTGATTATTCAATTCTGGTCTTCAATACATAATTTGGATCCCTTTAATTTTTTTTAGACTTACACATCATCATTGTATTTCATATAGCCTTACCTTATCATGACGACCAATACGCGATAACTATCTGCCTTCATAGCAAACGAATTACTTTAGAGAATATTTAAATAAATACTACTCAAATACTACTCATATACTTATATAGAAGAGTTTTC